CCCAATATGCAGGTCATTTAGGAGAGGAAAAACCCTCTTGTTCATTTTGATGCTGCATTTAACTGGTGTTAATAGCACAGACCATGCCAGCTTATCAGATATAGAACGGCATAACCCACTCAACTATATGATCAAAAGCCCTATTTGGGAGCAAAAATAGTAACTTTTGAGTAGCTGCTTCACTTCATTTAAACTGACACCACTTTTCCCTCTGCCGAAGAAAAGGAAATAATTCTGGCCAGGTAAGTTTTGTGAGAACTGAATAAGCAGTCCTCCTAGTGTGGCACCCGTCTTGCCAAGATACCAGAGGGCAAGCTGCCCAGAGTGCGATGTTGGCCCTTGCATAATAAAACCAAATGTTTTTAAGACTCTCAGAAAAATGACAAAGGCTTCCAGTAGTCTGAGCCTTTCATTCTGACAATGGTGAAAAATTATAAGGTTGTTAGAAGAGACAAAGCAAAACCGGTGAGTGACACCACCATTTCTCCTAAGAGAACTGAATGGGACAGAACAATGGCAATGGCATTTCTTATCCTTTTTGTGCTGAAAGCTAGGAAGAGTATTCGAGCCTATTTGACAATGATGAAAACTGCTGAGGGATTGCATTATGAAGAGTTGAATCAATGAACTGGCATTACTGAAGAGATGGCATAATGCATGCTACAATTGTGGCTGTGAGTTTAAAAGGATGAGCGTACCCCTTCTGTTCAGTTATGCTTGCACTTTGCAGAGAACAGTTTGCCTGCTTCAACTTTTAGATTGTTGACTGTATTATAAATCACCTCCACACAAAACAGTACATGAAGAAGAAAACCTGATATCAAAGTCCCCCAGTTTCTCGTGTAGAGGTACAAGCAGAAGAAATTTAACTCTTTAAGTCACCGTATGTAAAATTTTCTGCTGTCCTGAGGTGTATGGGCTTCTGAAGCTTTTGATAATGCAGAACATTCACTAGCTTTAGTCTGATTCTTGAAAGAATCAGTTTTAAAAACACTTCTGCCTAGGATTTGTATTCAGCTCTCTCTCTTTCGGGAGAATAATTGCAAATGAAATCTGAAAGTCAGGATGTATTTTCCACAGACCCATCCCACCAGCTCACCAAAACTCCCTAAGCTACTCTGCTTCATGTTGGTCTGGGAAGCCATGGGCAGGGAGCAGCATCTGGGAGAGGGATGGGGCCAGGGCTGGGATCGCAGAGTGGTGATCGTGCAGGCCCAGGCAGAGCCAAGGTCTTCTGCCTGCATGTCTGCAACAGGCACCTGTTCCTCAAGCAGATTGTAGTTCTACACTGGGTCCTGGCCCCGTGCTATCACCAACCCATGATCCCAGGGTCTCCATAGAGACCAGCTAGGAGCCACACGGGCAAGGCAAGCACACAGCCAGGCAGATGGGTTTGGGCCATGGGTGGGCAGGAAGTGGCAGCTAGGAGTGGAATGGACAGGTAGAGCTGGGACCAGGATCTTGGGGTGGTGACAGCACAGGGC